AATCCCAGGGAGAAATTACTTTTCTTACATTACTCCATCTGTAATAGAGTGATTATAGGAACAGTGTGATATAACACAATTTCATACAATGTATAATTACGGGGTCCCCGCTCCATTTTGCTATCAGTTTGGGTGTCCTTGGCCTGGAAAACGTTGAAGACCCCTGCACTAACATACAATACATTGTATACACTTACAATAAACCCTACTTTATTGAATTATTTGTCTGTTTCTGACTTTTGTTCATTTGTTTTTGACTATTAGATTTGTCAAACTCAAGGCCCATGGGCTAAATCTGGCACCCAAAAAATTTACATTGTTAAAAAATAATAATAATTGAACTTTATTGATCTCACTTTGGAGAAATGTGCCTCTGAATTTAAACCATCTCTTTGTAGAGCATTGGGCTGCCATTAGGCGGCACTCGGGGAGCAGTGTGGGTCTTGCTCAGGGACCCAGAGTGCCAGTCTGTGGGAGTGGGGCTCGAACTCAGAACCTCAGGATTCAAAGCTCTATAGAAGGGGTAACCAATTGAAAATCAGCATATAGTCCGAATAAAGAAAATCAACAGCCAGTATAGGTCCGGATCTGTTACTTTAAACAGCATTTAACACTGATATAAAATGAGGTGTTAAGGCATCCATGTTATGCATTATTGAATAAAAATATATTTAAAAAAAATTATGATTGACATATTTTATAAAACACCTGAACTGACCTTGACTGATTTGTTTTTTTCTCTTTCTTTTTTGAGTTGGAAAACTTTTTTCTGCCTGAATTTTTTATTTTGCAAACATGTAATGATTCTTTAAAACACAATCTTTTGCACAAAATTATTCGTCCGATTAAATAATTTATTAACTAAATTAGAGTTTTTGGTTAAATAATTACCTTTTTTTCCCAGCCCTTTTTTTTTTTTTTTTTAAGTAAGATACTCTATCCAACTCTATTCAGTATGACGGTGCAAAGAAGTTCATAATCTCAAGATTAGGAGCTAAAAATTCAAATAGCTTTAAGCTTATTTTGATGCTAACTTGTGTATAAGTGATAGATTTTCTAAGCCATGTTTAAGACAGGACAATAGCAATCTTTTATTAGTTTATTAGAAAAAAATCCAAATTCACAAATTGCAAACTGTTTAAAATCATCAGGTTTATTCAGACCATCGTCACAATGATTAGATTGCACATTACAAGAAATTCAGAGGCAATCAGGAAATTAAAAAATTCACAAATAAAAAAAAATAAATATCAACAATGTAAGTTTCTTTATGCAAAAGTTTAATTTTCGACTTATATTTACGTATCATTAAAATCCACTAGGTGGCAGTAGCGCACCAGCTCCAGCATTGAGGAGGCTCTTTAGTTACCTTCATACTGTGTGCTTGAAAATCACGTGATTTATAAAACAACTTTGCTCCAAGATGCCTGCATGACATGTTTAAAAAAAAATTCTGTTAAAGCCCAAACTCAGAAAATAAAAAAAATATATATATATATTTATCATAAAACTATTATACAGGCTGAGCCAGCAGCTGCAGAGAAAAAAGAAAAGCTTCATTTGAGCTGATGACTCCTGCCCACTTCTTTGTCTTGTCTTTCAGGAAGCTCCTGTGATATTCTGCAGGATGAGGAAGTGACTGCGTGGCATTTTGACCCTCATCACTTCGTCAGTCTATCTGAGCAGCTTATCATACCATTGATCTTATCCATGAAGTCAGTCCTTGCTCACCAGCAGCAGTGGGTTCACTTTGAAATCCTCCACAGGACTCTTAATTCTCACAGCCACTCTGTTTCTCTTGATGCCTGTCTGTTTAGAAATGGAGTTCATAAAGATCTTGTAAGGCTCGGTTTCAATAAAGCGTGGAAAGGAGCAGTTTTCCATCAGGATGTAGATTTTCTTCTCTGCCACTCTGAAGCAGGACAAGCTTGGCTTTTCCAGACTCTGTCTGATTGTCTCTTTAGTGTGGAAATCCAGATTAACCTGAGGAACGAGCGTAGAATAAATCATATAAAGATATAATATAAATTATAAATAGTGAATTTTATTCCATTATTTTTGTAAGCAAATAACAACTTTTGGAAATGGAATGTCTGGAAATAAAACTGAAAATCCCTCTTTGTTTTTTTCTTCAATTTTATTTTTTTGAAATTTTGTCAAATTAAAATTAAGAAAAAATCAAGAAAATTTAAAAATATATTGTTAAAAAATGATTTTAACCTAAAGCAAAGCATTAACCTAAGTCATATTTTTGGACTGTGGGAGGAAGCCGGAGTACCCAGAGGGAACCCATGCATTCACGGGGAGAACATCCAATCTGCATGCAGGTATCAAACCCAGAGCCTTTTTGCTGCAAGTCAACAGTTGTAACTGCACAACACAATGCATCCTCCCAAAAATGTATTAATAAAAATAATTAGTAAATATAGTGTGCCTGCATGAATGTGAATCTCAGAATGTTGCATTAAGGTTTCGGAGGGTTTTCACTAGTGTTGCACCGATACCAGTATCAAGCGGGGCCCCTATACAGCACTGAAAGGGTGGTATCATTATCGGCGAGTACCGACAAATAGGGCACTGATACCATTTTCAGAGCCAAAAGTTTATTCAACTATTGTCACCCATTTAAAGTAGGCAATAAAAAGTTCTACTGGATTCCCTTTGTATTAGTCTTCACAAAGGTAGGCAGAAGCTTGACAAAGCCATGAGGGCAATTATTTTACATCCAACTAGTATGCAGTTCTTCATATATACACACACACACACACATTAA